ATGTAGTAAATGCAAAACACAAGTCTACTCAATCTCTTTTCTTGTAGTTTATAATATTAATCTTTAATCCTTTTTGGTTCGTTTAAGTTGAATTGATCAACTTAATAGCTTCAAATTTTACTTTCAAGTTTTTCCTTATCGTAGTTCGATGGTATCAAATGTTGATGTAAATTGTGACTAGACATGCAAAAAACAGAGTTATATCTTAGATTGAATAACTCAACAACAAAAAATGATTCTAAAAGTTAAAATTTTCGATATGTTTTCATTGTGGTGAGACTATTAATAAACAATATTTTATTAGAATCCATATAATCATCGATATTTAAATATCTGTACATCAAAACATAAAAGTTTTTTTTATCAAATAGTTTAGTTTACTATCGAATACATTTAAAGACCATAGATATATGATATTATTGTTTCTTCATAAAGTATCAATGTTAAAAGCTTTTCAACAAGCAAGTACGCTGTACGAAAGTATGTATACCGACACTCTCTCCTTAACAAGCGACAATCACAAAAAAAGGACTTTTGAATTTCACCTTCTTTTAATAAAATTCTTTTTTGATGAAATCTTCATAAAAATTCTGTTCAATCTCCAAAAATTGTTTGTTTAATGGTTTGAATAATTTCATATTGTTATTCTGGATTTGTTTTATTTCATTTTGTACAATTGTATTCAATGATTTTTTGATTGATGTAAGAGAATAAGAAAATTTTGATATGAAATTAAAAAGTTTCACTACGATCTAGTTCATTTTCGAACATTAATAATCGTTTAGAACTGTGTCGATAGAAATCTAATGCATAACTATTCAAATAATAATTTTCATTTGTATGATCACGAGCATTTATATCAATATAAGATACAGTAAGTGTTGTTAAATCAAAATCATATGAAAGATCTCCTGAACCAATAGTTAGATTATAGTTTGACATAAACCGTTCATGAGTAAAACCAAATGGTTTAGCACATGAAGACATATAGATAAATTTTCTGATTGTTGAGAATGATGATGAAGATGATGATATTCAAATGTGCCATTATCATAATCTGATGACTGAATAAATGAAACATTTGATAGAGATAGGAGATATTCTTGATTATCATTAAAGGATTGCATTTGTCTAGCAACATTTTCCATAAAAAATTCCATAGATATTTTTCACTAATAAATTATACGATTGAATGGCCTGACGAATTCCATCTGAAATCGATCGAAGGCAAACTTTCAAATTAAGCAATAGTTTTTCTCGTATCGACAAAGATCCATCTGATGTCTGGCATATTATAGGCCTGAATAAAACAATGAGTTAATCGATCATAGAAAATAGTGATTTACCATGGAAGATTTGTAAAAGACACGCAAGTAAATGAACTATTTGATAAAAAAACTTCTCTGTTTTGATGTACAGATATTTAAATATTGATGATTATGGATTCTAATAAAATTTTGTTTATTAACAGTCTCACCACAGTGAAAATATATCGAAAATTTCGACTTTTAGAATCATTTTTTTTTTGTTGAGTTATTCAATCTGAGATATAACTCTGTATTTTGCATGTCTAGTCACAATTTACATCAAAATTTGACAGCATCGAGCTACGATAAGGAGAAACTTGAAAGTAAAATTTGAAGCTATTAAGTTGATCAATTCAATTTAAACAAACCAAAAAGGATTAAACATCGATATTATAAACTACAAGAAAAGAGATTGAGTAGACTTGTGCTTTGCATTCACTACATGGCTGAGACTTGATTTCATCTTTTAATTTCGATATTATTTCAACGAGAAATAACAACAGAAATCAATCACG